GTCCTTGGGTCATTGATTCTGGTGCGTCTGATCATGTTATTGGTAATAAAAATCTTTTCTCTTCCCTCTCTATCTCTAGTTTCTTACATACTATAACTTCTGTCAATGATTCTTAAACTCGATCCGAAGAAATTGGTACTGTTTAAATTTTACCTTCTCTCTCTGTTACTGCTGTTCTTTATGTATCTAATTTTCTCTTTAATTTACTTTCAGTCAGTCGTTTAACTCGTTCTCTTGATTGTATTGTCACCTTCACTAATAGAAATGTCACCCTGCAGGATCGAAGTTCAGGACGGACGATTGACGTCGGATGTGAGTCTCAAGGCCTTTATTACCTCTCAGTGTCATCTCAGACATGTTCAGCCAAAGATTCTTCACTCACTATCCATGCTCAGTTAGGTCATTCTAGTCTTCTTAAACTACAGAAGTTAGTGTCAAGTTTATCAAAGATATCTAATTTACATTGTGAGTCGTGTCAGTTAGGGAAACACACTCGTACTCAATTTTCCAATTGTCAATAAACGAGTTTCGTCCGCTTTTGCTTTAGTTCACTCCGATGTTTAGGGTCCCTCACGTACTGTCTCTACTCTTGAGTCTAGGTATTTTGTCACCTTGATTGATGATTTTTCACATTGTACGTGGTTATTTTTAATAAAAAATAGATCAAAATTATTTTCTATTTTTGAAAATTTTTATAAAGAAATAAAAACTCAGTTTGGTGTGTCTTTTTGTACCTTAAAAAGTGATAATGCTCGTGAATACTTATCCCAACAATTTCAAACTTTTATGTCCAGTAATAGTATTCTCCACCAAACATCTTGCCCTCATACACCTAAACAAAATGGGGTAGCCGAACGCAAAAATCGGCATCTCGTAGAAACCACTCGGACCCTACTTCTCCATGGTAATGTTCCACTTCGATTTTGGGAGGACGCTGTGCTAACGGCGTGTTACCTTATAAATTGCATGCCATCATCTGTCCTTAACAATCAAATTCCTCATTCAATCATTTTTCCCCATTCCCCCCTTCACCTAATTCCTCTCCGAGTCTTTGGGTCTACATGTTTTGTACACAATCTCTCTCCTGGTCTCGATAAACTATCAGCTTGATCACTAAAGTGTGCTTTTCTTGGTTATTATCGATCCCAAAAAGGTTATTGTTGCTATTCACATACTCTACAATGATACCTCATGTCGGTCGATGTCACCTTCTTCGAGTCTGTTCTATATTCCGCGTCCAGCCAAGTAACTCTGGAACCCCTTCAGGAGAGTACTCTCACACCTCTTCCGGAAGTCCCATATGTCATTATCCCCCATCATTCTAGGGAACCTGACCCAATAGATAACCCTACAGTTGACCCCCCGATTTCTCGTCCACTTCAAACATATCAGCGTCGTCAACCAACGTCTGTCGTACATGTCCCTGAGGTGGTACTTGTCCCTGAGGTCGTACATGTCCCTGAGGTCATTGTAGACTCCTCCGACGCTCTCGCCATCACCAGATCCGATCCTGCAACCTGAGTCTGATCTTCCGATTGCCCTTCGAAAAGGTATACGTCAAACACGAAATCCTTCTCCACATTATATTGATTTATGCTATCATCGTCTTTCTCCTTTGCGGTATACTTGTTTGTCTTCTTTGTCTCGTGTTTCTATTCCTAAAATTTCAGGTGAAGCATTATCTCACCTTGAGTGGAGGCAAGCAATGATTGATGAAATGTGTACTCTTCAAAGCAGTGGTACCTGGGAATTGGTTCCTCTACCCCATGGGATATCTTTAGTAGGTTGTCGTTGGCTTTATACAGTGAAAGTTGGTCCAAATGTTAAGATTGGTCGATTTAAAGCTCGCTTGGTAGCCAAATGATACACTCAGATTTTTGAGTTAGATTATAATGATACCTTCTCGCCTGTAGTCAAGATGGCATCCGTTAGACTTCTTCTAGTCATTGCAGCCATTCGACATTGGCCTCTTCATCAACTTGACATCAAAAATGCATTTTTACATGGGGATCTTGAAGAGGAAGTATATATAGAGCAACCACTTGGGTTTGTTGCTCAGGGGGAGTTATTGAATATGGTTTGTTGGCTACACAGGTCTCTTTATGGTCTTAAGCAATCTCCGAGAGCTTGATTTGACAGATTCAACACTGTAGTACAACAATTTGGTATGGTCCGTAGTGAAGCTGACCATTCTGTCTTTTATCGTCACTCAGTCCAAAGATGTATTTATCTTATTGTGTATGTAGATGATATTGTCATAACTGGTAGTGATGAGCAGGGAATACTCCAATTAAAACAACATCTCTCGAATCAATTTCAGACAAAAGATCTTGGTAAATTCCGTTATTTCTTGGGTATTGAGGTAGTACAGTCTAAAGATGGTTTAGTGATTTCTCAGCGGAAATATTTTATGGATATTTTGGAAGAAACAAGTTTGTTGAACGCTAAACCAGTTGATACTCCTATGGATCCAAGTGTCAAACTACTACCTAATCAGGGGGAGCCTCTATCAGACTCAAGAAGGTATAGGAGATTTGTTGGAAAGTTAAATTATCTCAGAGTCACTCGTCCAGACATTTCTTTTGCAGTCAGTGTGGTAAGCCAATTCTTAAATTTTCCTTGTCAGAATTCTGAGATACATCAAATGTGCTCTCAGAAAAGGTTTAGTATATGAAGATAAAGGACATATTCAGATAGTTGGATACTCTGATGCTGATTAGGCAGGGTCACCAATTGATAGACGATCCATCTCTGGGTATTGTGTACTTGTTGGAGGAAATCTTATATCATGGAAACATAAGAAACAAAATGTAGTTGCAACATCAAACGCCGAGGTAGATTATAGGGTCACGGCAATGGCAACATGTGAACTCATCTGGTTAAAACAGTTGCTTAAAGAACTTCAAATTGAAGAATCAAGACCAATGACACTTGTCTGTAATAATCAAGTTGCATTGCACATTGTTTCAAATCCAGTCTTCCATGAGAGGACCAAACATATTGAGATAGTCTCTCACTTTGTCAGAGAGAAGATTGGATCTGGCGACATCGTCACAAGCTTTGTCAACTCTAATGATCAATTGACAAATGTGTTTACAAAATTCCTTCGAAGTCCCTGAACCAATTATATATGTAACAAGCTTGGTGCATTTGACTTATATGCTCAAACTTGTGGGGGAGTGTTGATAATTATATATGTATATGTATATAAAGAGAATATTCTCTAGAATATTCCTTAGAATATTCCTTAGTGTATTCTAGAATAGGATAGGATATCTATGTAATTAATACTAGGATTTTTATTTTCTCCTATATAATGCATCTTCTGTTGTGCTATTCAAACACACAATTTATTCAAACGTCTTAGTCTCTCGTATTTTAACAACATGATTGTGTAGTCAATATTAACACCATTACAAAACACAGTTCTGTATTAATGACCAAGTACATTTGTGGTTCTAAAATATATTTATCTTACTGTTATCTCCATGCTTAAATGAATTCTTATTGAAGTGAACCTGACTTTGGTGGATGAAGATTTAAATAGTGTTAACTTTGATTTGAATAGATGGACTGTGAAAAAAAATTGTTTTTCCTATTTCATTTAGTTTCCGCCTTTTTAATTTCTTCTTGTTGATGTTCTAGTTTGCAAACCACGGGCATATATGACAGCACTGAAAATACTTCATAATTTTCCACTGTCCCAATCAAGTTTTTCTTCTTACTCATGGAACAGTATATAGATATCATTTTCTGTCTCATGTGGAACTCAATGTTAAGCTGTCTCATGGGGAACTAAATGTTAAGCCATTAGAACCTCTGCGACCTGATAGAAACTGGTACCAAACAATGAAATTTAATAGTAATTACAATGAGTTTTCAAGAAATTCTAGTCTTGGTTCTCTCCCTCCAAGAATTCGAGAGCTTGGTCTCTCTCTCCCAAATAAACTCTTTATCCAGGATAACCCATCTAACCTACGGTTTCCTCATTTTATTCACACTCCCCAAATAAATACTTAATAACTGCTACCAGATGTTCATATTAAAAACACTAACTGTTGAACATCCAGTGAACCTTCAACGGTTAACGACTCTGATTCAATTTCCGGGTCCTCTTATTTGTCCGAATATATAATCAATATACACCGATATTCCGGCTTGAAATGCCAAATAAATGAAAGCCAAAAGGTACGCCAACTCGTGGATTCCACCATTGCGGCCATTGGGAGCACAACCTCTGAGCAGCGTCAACGCCTCTCGCCAGTTTCTCCACCACTGGTGTTTCTCTCTTTTTGAAATATTCCTCAATGCATAGTACCCACCAGTATGCATCTTCTTCTCCATCAAACACTCGAAACTCCATTTCAGGCACGATGTACCACAGATCCATGAAACGAGCTCTGATACCGGTTGATAGAAACTGGTACCAAACAATGAAATTTTATAGAAATTACAATGACTTTCCAAGAAATTAAAGAGTCTTGGTTCTCTCCCTCCAAGAATTCAAGAGCTAATCAAAAGTAACTGCCTGACAGAATAGAACATGTACATTAAGTTTTGGCTCCTAGTAATTCTTAAGGTCTATCATGACCTAACCTCTCTAGAAGGGGCTGTTGCACGAGGCTTCCACTAGGTGGAGTGCGAAGAAGGTAGATAGATGTATGCAGCCTACCTCAGCAAGAGGCGATGCTGTTTTTAGGATTTGAACCGGTGACATCCAGGTCGCAAGGCAAGGCAGCAACATTACCGTTGCGTCGAAGCTCGCTCTCCTGCTTACCTCTCTAAACTGTAATAGTTTAAAATCGTACTATCAATACTCACATTGCTGTAATTGAATCCCTAAAGGTCTCAATTTTTTATTCCCTCCTCGACATAGTTGTGGTTGGCTGGTCTCTTTTACTCTCCTTTGGTTCTCCTCACACTTGTTGCTTTACTTTCCAGTTACATTCTAGTTCATATACATATTTATTTTAAACTTGCAGGAAGTTAGTTCTATGCTAATGGAGAAGCTTGTTGCTGCGGGAATTGGGAATCGACCTGTTGTTTTTGTTACTCACAGGTTAGTATAGCTGATGGATAAAAACACAACTAATTGTTCTGATTATCATGGATACATAGTTATTTGTGTAATCAAATTGTGCCTCATGTTATTTGTATTTTCCTCCTGGTTCTCTTTTTTCTGAAGCATGGGGGGTTTGGTCGTGAAGCAGATTCTTCATACAGCAAAGGAGGAAAAACATGATAATCTTGTGAATAACACTAGAGGAATAGTAAGTATCAACTCCTGATTAAATATATGTTTAAAACGTTGTACGTTTTTTATGCTTTATTTTTTGTTGTAGGTGTTTTATAGCTGTCCACATTTTGGCAGCAAACTTGCTGACATGCCTTGGCGAATGGGCTTTGTACTTCGTCCTGCTCCATCGGTGAGCATTTGAAGTTAGTTAATGTATTTCCTTTTAATAAATTGCTTCATTTTGAAGAATTTTTAGCACTTGATTCTTTATGTTATATAGATAGGAGAGCTAAGAAGTGGATCTTCAAGATTGGTCGAGCTTAATGATTATATTCGGCTACTTTATAAGAAAAGCATTCTTGATGTTCTCAGTTTTTGTGAGGTAATCAGCAGTTCCGTTTTTCCTTGTAAGTATCATACTGATTTTTTGAGTGAGTCGTCACCTATTTTTGCAGACCAAGGTAACTCCAATAGTGGAAGGTTATGGCGGATGGGCCTTTCGAATGGAAATTGTACCAATTGAGTCAGCTTATCCAGGATTTGGGGAACTAGTTGTAAGTATATTGTGAAATTATATCTAATGTGACAGGCAAAAGAAATAAAAATGGAAAACAAAACTTTTTTTTAGTAAGCTTTGACTCAAGTGAGCTCCTTCTGAGTTCCCAGCTGCACAGGCAGTTTCCTAATCTATCTTGAAAATCTGAAACAGGTATTGGAGTCGACAGATCATATAAATTCTTGCAAGCCAGTGAATCGCCTAGACCCTTCTTATACGGAGACATTAAAGTTCTTACAAAAATTAAAAGCATGCTATACCTAAATAGATATGTTTCAACGATAGACATGTAAGTACTTAGAAAGCTAGGTAGGCGTTTCGGGGTGGTATTTATAGTCAAATGCACAAGAAGCTTGTATGTCCTGTGGCATCGGCTTGATATCATCTAACATGTTTAATAAGCTTCGAGGCGGACACTAAGACATTGACTTGCCTAACTTACATATTTTTCCACTCTTCAATCATTCTGTGAGTGCTTCAAATTTTGTCAGTGTTGCAGGTCAGTTGGTCCTGTGGTACCGCAATCAGTATCTATTGTACATAAATAGGATACGCAATTGTAACCCATGTATATGTTGTATATTCATGTAAATCCTCATTTTTTGTTATTGTTGGGTGTTAAGCATTAGAGATTTTGGTTTCTATTTCTGTTTTGAAAGTAGTTCAACTTCGATTCCTCAGCAAGGGCATGATTGGATAGGTGGATTTTTTCATTTCTGATAAAAGAATTCATTTATGTCGTCGTGTGTTTATGTGTTATATATAGGTGATGCCACCTCCTTTATATGGAGATGTTCTACGGGAAATATTTTGAGGAGTTCAGGTTACTTAGGAATTGAGTGGAAAATGGGAGAATAAGAAAAAAAAGTTGGTCGACCATCCTTGTTTTCTTCTATCCTCTGCCAAGAGAAGTGGAAGAGATAGTCTCTTCTCTTGCCTTGAAATATTCTATATGCTTTTCTATTTTGTTCAAAACTGTAAATGAATGAACGAAATATAAACATAACATGAGTTTTAATAGTAAGTTGCTATTTTTCAATCAATTTAAGTTACTTAATTTATTTTGGGAGCATCTATGGTGTTGAAAACATGACAGCTTTGAAAAAGTCATTCGGGTATATAGATCTACTGTTACATAAAAGTGTCTAATGGTGCTTAATTTATTTTTTTATAAAATTTTTTTTTAATCATCATCTTCAACCTTTAGCCGGATCACTTGAACCCGGTTTCATGTCCACAATATCAATATAAAATCAGACGATTTCAAATTCATTAAATATCAAAAATAATAATTAACTATTCTGAAAAATCACAAATATTATTTATAATACATTATGATTTTAATATTAATTAGAAGGGTATAAAACAAAAAATTCTTAAATTAAAATTTTCAAAAACTTGCATGTTAAATGTTATAGTAGGCCCATGATAGTTTGATATTGACTTAGGCTTTGCAAAATCTGTAAATCACTAAATCAACGAATTAACTCATAAATTATAATATCGTTGAAATAGAATTTTACCACGATTTTGAATATGTATTCAAAATTGCAAAATAAGCTGTGAATTTGACAAATCGAAGCAAAAAGTAGAGTGAAACTTGAACACAAACACGCTCGATCTAGCTTATTTATGAGGTTTTACGAAAAACTAATTATAGAATCGGGTTCATGGTTAAATTTCGCTTCTAATGATGTATTCATTTGCTTGAAACATTTAAGAATTATGATTTTGTCATTGTTGTGTTATTGAGTTCATGAAAGTTAAAAATCACCAAATCAACTAATTAATTCACAAACTATATATCGTTGGAACTAAATTTTTTCCACAATTTCAAATATATATTCAAAATTGTAAAACAGGCTGTGAATTTGACAAATTGAAACAAAAAAGTGACATCAAACTCGAACACAAACACGCTCGATTGGACTTATTTATGAGATTTTATGAAAGACTAATTATAGAATCATGTTCGTGGTGAAATTCCGCTTCTAATGATGTGTTTATTTGCTTGGAACAATTAATAATCATGATTTTGCCATTTTTGTATAAGATAAAGATTAAGACTTTGATTTGAGGCACAGAGAGGGTATATAGTAATGGTATGTACCGTATAATCCTACATGAAATTGATTAAGTCAATATTGAAATTTTTTAAGTCAACACTACTTTCTGATTGGTCAAATTGATGACTTCTTCAAAAAAGTTAAAATGATGACTTCACCTTAGAATTTTCCATTTATCTTTACCTCTCTGATTATGCAAACGGATATGCAGTACAATATGTACATGTATGCTGTCAAACTTTGTGATAGTTGTAAAAATCGTAACATCCTTTGAGAAAAAAAAACTTTTTTCGTCCCTTAACTTTATCTCGGAGTACATTTTGATCTCTTAATTTTTAAAATATTCAAAGCAATCCCTTAAATATTAAAATGAAGGCAAATGAGTCTTTTTCGTTTATTTCATGTAAATATTTGTTTATGAGTATGTGTGGCAGCTGAGTTGACAATTGAACTTCATCTTCGTTATTTTGACCGAGTTCCACGGGGTCTGCATCTCATATTCATATTAGGGCTTAGGGTTTTTCTGAAATTGTTCATCGATTTCTAAGAAGGTTAGCGTTGGAGCAATCATGAAATTCGATCGTTGTTCATCCTTATTAAAACATAAGAGCTTTGAAAGTTTGGACTCTAATGTATACTCGAGCTCAAATCTGTCATGGAAATCCTTTTGCGACAACATTGTTCTTCGTAGGGCAACTATGACCAAGGGTTTTGGAAAATATATTTGTGGTTGTCCAAATTTTAAGGTATGCAAGTTTTATATACAATTTTGGGTATGCTAATTTCAGTTTGAACTTCTATTATTTGAACTTCAATCTATGTAAATTTCAGAGATTTTTGCAAGCTGGGTGTGAGTATTTCAAATGGTTCTATGATGATGTAGAAGATGAGAAAGGGCGATTTATGATGAGTAGGTTGGAAAAGTTAGCAAAGAAAATTGATGATGCAAAAATAGAGTTTGAAAAAGTTAGGTTGACAAATGAATAATTAAGGAAAAAGTTGATTAAACTTCAAATTCAAATGAAGAAGATCTTGGTGGAAAAAATATTGGAATATGATGTGTTTTGTAATTTTCTGTGTATTATTTTTTTCATGTTTTAAGAGTATGTATTGTATTGGGTTGTATCAGTTAAATTTATTAAGTTGAATTTTATGTCTGCATCAGTATGAATTTATATTGATTTTGGCATTAAACTAGTTAGTTGATTCCTACTGATTGTTGATTTTGGCATTAAACTAGTTGATTCCTACTAAGTTTTGGCATTAAACTAGGTTGTTCTAAATTTTGGCATTAAACTAGTTTGTTGATTCCTACTTATTTATAACAATTCTGAAGGGTGAGAAAACACTTAGAAGCGGGGGGGGGGGGGGGGGGGGGGGGGGGGGGGAGGGGGGGGGGGGGTGAATAAGTTTTTTCCTTTTTCTCGCGCAACAATAATAGAAGGACACATGTATTTTTATCATGGTTCGTTTGAAACTCAAACTACTCCAGTCCATCCGCCAAGGTGATTTCATCTCTCTCAACGAGGACTTAATCCACTATAATCAAATTGATTACAAATGCACAATCAAAGTGGTGTAACTAACAATACAATGCACAAGCCAACTGCAAGTGACTAATACCTCTAAGACTCAAACTAGTCCTAGCCCTCTTGGGAAATCTGATCCAACTGGTCTCTCAAGGAACACTTACAGAATTCTCTCTTAATAATAGTGAAACAGATTTGCTTCTAAAAAGCTTTATCACAAACTGTGATTTATCACTAAGATTGTTGTCCAATACTTAAGATTTACCCACTATACAGTATTAGTTTACAAGTATGAAAACAGTGAGGGTAAGTATGTTTCACGTGAGTCAGTAACCTTTCTTTGAAACAACAGGTCTTCTATATATAGCTTCCAATTCTTGACCGTTAATGCCTTGATGATAGTGCATGCATTTAATAAAGTGTGTTTGCAATGATGTGTGTTGCGCGTAGGCATGGTCTTTACGTTTCCAATGCTCGTGCGCGTAGTACACTTGAGTGCGTTAGCCGTCTTTAGCATTTAATAACCAACGGTACTGTCAGAGCTTGTCTCTGGAAATTGAAGTGTTTGCTTGCTGCGTTGCCATTTCAGAGTTTACTTGATCTTTTCTTCTATCAGAGTGTTCTTCAAGTTATGTGTTCATCAGAGTTTGATTTAATCTTGCATTATCAGATGTTGCTTTCAGCGTGTTTATATTAGATCTTTGCTTCATCTAGCTTTATTAGAGGTTGCTTAGGATTGCTCTTCATCAGAGTTTTCTTTGGAGTGCTTCCTTCTGAGTTTTCTTTGGACTTGCGTAGAATGTTATTTCTTTCTAAGATGCATAAGTCAAAACATCATCTGAACTTAGAGAACATACAAGTCAGAGTATAAAATATATATCACAAAGTTTATTTCATTGTTATCATCAAAACTCTAAGATATGATTAGAACCAAACTTGGTTTAACAATCTCCCCCTTTTTTATGATGACGAAACAATTCAGATTTTGAAGAAAAAATTGTGCAAGTATGGGGATCTCCCTATGAGATAGGTAATCTCCCCCTAAGATTGACATTTTTTTCTTCTGAAATAAAGAATAATTAAAGATTTTAAAATCATAAGGGAAACTTCCTGAGATTTGTTCTTCAGAGCTTTTAGACTTTTTCTTTCAGAGTTTCTTTAGCAATTCTTTTCCTGATGATGTTCAGAGCTTAGTTTTTCAGAGTTTCTTGAGTTCCTGCATATCTCTTAAACAAAAAAGAACTTTGTATTTCATTAGGAATGTTTGAGACTTAGTTCCATAACTGTCTTCATGGATCAGATCAAAATCTTATTCCCCCCCCCCCCCCTTTTGTCATAATCAAAAAGTAAAAAAATAAAGAAATTCAAAATTGTCATATATTGAAGATTCAAAAGAAAAGAGAGTTATAAAACAAAAACAACAAGAAAAAAAATTGAGAAATAAAATCTAAGATCGACGAGAAACAAGAGAAAGTAGAAGATTCTTGATTTCATTTGAGGAATCCTCTTGTTTCATCATCCAAGATCTGATTTCCTTGTTGGTTTCATCCTGTTTATCCAAATGTTCATGGATGGCCTCATTGTCCTTCTTCAGTTCATTCAGAGTGTCCAGCACCAGAGAAGTTGGAGCAGAAGTTGACGCAGCTTCAGAGAAGACAACCTTTGGAGC